AGTTGGCGGACTCAAGAGACATGTTTCCATACATTGAGAATTATGTGAACTCAAGTCTTATCCCTTTTCCTTTTGAATTGAGGTAGAAATTGATTAGAACCTTGTAGAGGCGAGTGAACCCATAATATAGAGGAACTCACTGAGATTATTATCTCACCCCATTATTGTTGTTATTTTTTCAGGTATTGTTTGCAGGTTTAGTTTGCATGTGGAGTTATGCATGGATGTTTCAAGGGAAGCTTAGCTTATGTTTATTCTGCTATGTATTGAGTTGTACACTGATGGATATTGTACTTAGATCTTAGATTTTTATGTTTGACACTTTCCATATCACGTACCATTGTTGTTCTTTTATGTTTTTGAAAATGGTCAAGTATGTAAATTATGCCAATAGAGACTTATGGTGGTGTCAGTACCAGATAATAACTCTTGTATGATATTATTCTAGATATATATTATATATGGTGTTATATAGATTATGAATGTTGCTTTGATTGTGTTATCCCTCACCATAAGTGAGTAGTCAAATAGGGAGTAAAGGTTATGGGATTTATCTCATGACTATTTGTATGATCCATCACAAATTGAGTACGAGAGTATTTTATCTGTATATATTTTAATATCTGAGTCCATGCATTCTAACCCTTGAGTCCAATGCAATGAAAGTGCTTGGATGAGTTTGAGAAAAGCTTCACTTTTTATAGCTGAGCAAAAGTAAGGAATCCTTGATAAATAATCCGGTCGTGCAAAAACCAACAAATTATTCGTTATCGATAGGGCAACATGATGGAAAAAGTAGGTGTTGTCAATATTTATCTATTTTCTATAAACTGTGTTAGAACTCTCGTAATATAAGTGACTCGGATTATACAGATCTGTCAGAGTAAGAATTGTGACCGTAAGTCCAGTTTGCTTCATTATAATTTAAGTGATTTTCATTTAAGTGTTTTTCTGATAAGTTCTTTTTAAATATTCTATTTTGCAAAATCTCAAATTTTGATCTCTCTAGATATATATCGGTAGAATGAAATTAGGCGTACAATCCATTGATCATTGTGGTTCGATAATATTTTACTACTTTGCACAATGGTGCCCTTGTGGCGTGTCACTTAGGAATCCATATAAATATCATATCCCTCTAGGGGATATGGGAGATTCTCATGTTATACATATTTACTACTACTCGGAGAGCACTGCGCTCCTAGTAGCCATAACACCCTCAATTTAAACGCCCGCCTGCAGCCTAGCAACGCTGACCAAGAATAGGGTCTCTCATCTCATGTGAGTTAGCCCCTCAAACAGCCTTAAAAATAACCGTATATGGATACTTGCTGCCGTGAGCTAGCCCTAACCCCCAAACATGTAATATACCTACTAAGACTCGTGAGACTTCCTTCCCTCGCAGAAGGAACACATACACCCGATACTTTTTTGACAGTACAAATAGTGATGAAATATCTAACATACCGTAATTGTGAAGAAGAGGAAGAAGTCAATAAATGATTTTCATGCATGCTTTTTGAAGTTTTGTCTTTCCCCTCATTGATTTGAACTTGAATAATGGGGTTTGCTTGGTGTATTTATGGAGATTGGTCTCTACTATCACCTTCTTTTGTTCTTTCGATGGGGCAATATTGTGTTATTGAGGAAATAAACTGATACATGTTATGTTTTACTTTTAGCGAAACATTTTCACCATGATTGATAAAAATAACCATTGTGATATATTATACATATTACCACTGTTTTTCTTCACAACCGTAATAAAATTATTTAGGGTTTTGTCTTTAAAAATGAACAAGCGTGTTGTCCACCTTTTTATCAAAGCTAACTCATTCCGCCTTCAAACTTCATATTCCATTCTTCAAAAGTAAATTCAATATATTGAAAAACCTGATTTAAAAATTAATGTTAAGTTTCACTTTATCAAGTGAACGATATACATGAACCTTAACATTGATCTTTAATTCCAAAATAAGAATTACTAATTCGATTGATTGATTAATCGAAGTAATAAAATATTACGAAATGTATATTTTATAGTTGTAAAATATTTTTTAATTATTAATTTTACAAACATTAATTTTTATCATTATAACTCTTAAAATTAATTCAAAAATATTTTGTTCAATTTTGTCAAATGTTATATTCAATAATATAATCAATCCTTGTATTTAGTATTTAGTGGCTTTAACCACAATATTACTTGCAAAAATTGATTAACTTTTCAAATCTCCAATCAACAACCATATTCAATTCATATTTGTGATCAAGAAAATCATTAGGGAATACAAATTCAGGAATCTAATCCTCAAAAGAATCGGTAAAACAACTATCATATTACTATGAAATAAATCTGGAACCTTATTCCACTTCAGAAAAACTTCCATAGGGTTCAAGTTGCTCTTATTTATACCTTTATTTTATTAATAAAAATAGTTCAAATTTGATAAATGTTAGGCACAAATTGTTGAGAGGGCTCAACTTTTTCAACACGATTCAAGTTGATGCTGGTATAGTTGTTTAGTGTGTGAAGATGGTTTGATTAGAGGTTGGGGGTGAGTGGTTGTTGTGGTTTAATTTGGGCTTGTGGAGTGAGACGTTATGTATCAAGTGGAGAATTATATGGAGATTCATAGATGAAACTTTTGGTTATAGGTTGGTTAAAACCTCCATAGAAATTATAGTGACAAGGTAACAAGGATCAAGAAATCCTTGTTCAGGTAGGTGAGAGGGAGAGCTTAGTGATTGTTTAGCTTGGTTAGGGTTAGGTTTAGGTTTGGTGGAGAGTTTGATATGATGATTCGATTGTTTGATTGGTTGGGTGGTAGTTATATTATAGTGATGTTTAAGGTATGAGTATGGCTAGCCTTAGTTATTCTAGAAATTAATTATTCTCACACTTCATCAATTATTAGGTTGGATGATTAAGGACTATGCAACAAAATTGGATTTATGACGCTTTACTATATACTTTTTTTTGCTTGTGTTACTTACAACTTTGATTATCTATTTTGTTTTATTCATTACCATATCTGAGTAGCTCTTATCTTGGAATAACAGGGACTCTGAAACTCTGAAGTAATGGGAAGGCTTAACTTCTTTTCTTCGTCTGATGATAGGGAAGTGAATCTAGGGATTTCATGTGAGGTTGTCCCCAAATCCATCCCTTCTTCGTGTTCTTTTTCTAAGTACGTTGATTCCCTTAATCTCAATTCTAACCCCTTAACAGTCGTTCCCTCTGGTGATTCTCATGAAAAAGGTGATTTTGATATTCGTCCTCTTGATCCTCATCCTTTAGAGGTGAAGCTTGGGTCCGTCGTGGAGCATTCAATGCGGTGCCACTGATTCAGAAATCTTGCAAGGTAACAAGAGATTCTGGGAGAAAATAGAGAGTAAAGTCTCGAAGGTTTCGTCGGTCTTAATGTTGTCTGGAAAGGTAAGGATTTGTTTTTCGTTAATGTCTATTCTCCGTGCAAATCGGTGCAAAAGAGAAAATTATGGTTAGAATTGTTGGAGGTTAAGAAGAGGTCTGGGAAGGGAGAATGGGTTATTGGTGGGGACTTTAATGCGGTAGCTTTCAAAGAGGAGAGGAAAGGAAAGTCATAAGGAGGGAAAATGAGGGAAATAGAGGAATTCAACAGCTTCATTGGTAACCTGGATTATGTGGACGTGCCATGTGTGGGTGGTCAATTCACTTGGTTTAATAGTTCTGGTAGTTCGATGAGCAGAATTGATAGGTTTTTACTGTCAGAAAAATTGGTTGAAGATTGGAAGATCATGGTACAACATATTGGTAGGAGGGACGTGTATGATCATTGTCTGATATGGTTAAAGGCGTGTACTCAGGATTGGGGCCCCAAACTCTTCAGATTTAGTAACTGCTGGCTTAAACATCCTGAGTTTCAGAAACTTTTTGAGTCGGAGTGGCATTCTATTGAATTAAGGGGGGAGGGGATTATATTTTGAAAGGCAAATTGGGAAATCTCAAAGCAAGTCTGAAGAAATGGAATATTGAAGTCTTCAGTTGGATCGACTTAAAAGTGGAAGAAGCAGTCAGTGATCTCAATGATCTTGATGTGGAGGTTAGTAGGCTCGATTTCTAAAATTTGATGTGATGGTTGATAAGAGATCTTTTGCATTGAATAATGTCTGGAAGAGTTTGAATCAGAAAGAGGGTATGCTGAAGATGAAGGAGAGAGAGTTATGGCTGAATGAAGGTGATAGTAATACTAGCTACTTCTACAGAGCTATGAAGAGTAGACGTAGAAGAAATAATATATCGTTTGTGAACACACCTAGCGGGAGAAAAGAGAATGTGGCAGACATTAAACATGAGGTGACTAATTTCTTTAAAGAAAACTTTAGTGATGTTTCTTATGGCTGTCCTTCTATTGAAGACTTAGATTTGAAGACATTGTCATTAGCTGATGCAGTCTAGAGGAAGATGTCACTGAGGTAGAGATTAAAAAAGCAATTTGCGGGTGTAATGAAAGAAAAAGCCCAAGACCATACGGTTTTACTTTTGCATTTTTTCAAGAATGTTGGAACATTGTCAAGACTGATGTGGTTAGGTTTGTAATAGACTTCTTCTGCATTCTTGTCATCATAGAGGTTGCTTCTGCCTCCTTCATCACGTTGGTGACAAAAATAAAAAATCATAACACCTTCTGAACTATAGACCGGTCTGCTTGGTGAATTCTTATCAGAAAATTCTCTCAAAAATCCTAGCTAGCCGTCTTAAGAGGGATGTGGGTAGCTTAGTTTCGACCGAACAATCGGCGTTTATCCCTGATAGATGCATTCTTGATGGAGTTTTGGTTGCTAACGAAATCGTTGATATAGCTAAGAGGAATAAACGATATTGTATGTTTATGAAAATTAATTTCGAAAGGGCTTATGATTATGTGTCATGGGTGTTTATGCGGACCTTGCTCGAGAAGATGAAATTTAGGTTAAAGTGGATAAAATGGATTGATTCTTTGGTTTTCAATTGATCTATGTCTATTATGATTAACGAAAGTGCTACTATAGATTTTAAGGTTAGCAAAGGCCTTCGACAAGGTTGTGAGGGCAAGTTGTCTCAATCCTTGTTTTAATGATGTCAAAACTTATTGAGTTAGTACTTTGTATTTTGGTATCATCAAGTCGCATATGCATTCGTAGTTCTCTCGTGTACAAGAATTTCTCAAAAACATGGGTCTATTCATGTAGAAAAGCATTATAGGTGTTTTGTATGGGTTTGATCATGGTGAAAGACTTAGATATGCATTGGTTGTGCTTGGAAGTTCTAAGCATTTGAGTCGACTCAAAGCCCTGCTTAGGTCGACTCATACAGAGTGAATTTTAAGGATTTACTTTCAGGAGTGCTCGCGTTGACCCTCTGGTCGACTCATATTGTTAGCATTTCAATTTGTAAATTTTGGGCATGTTTGCGTCGACGCATGAACCTGTTCCGGTCAATGCATAGAGTCAGCTTCTACATAATTTTAAAAGCAGGAGTGCTCAGGTCGACCCCCCTTTATTTTTAGGTCGACCGTTCGCTCATGTCACCTTATTTTTCTGATGTGTTTGACTTTCAAATGGCTGTTATGTTTGTTACTTGGTCCTAATTTCACATATATATTCTTTTTGGCTCATTCTTTCTCAACAACTACACACAACCATTTTGTTGATCATTCTGCATCATTGTGGTGATAACGTCCAAACATAGGATATTGTATCGGGTTTGGGTTGAGAGATCAGTGGGTTTTTCTTGAATAAAACCATTAGGGTTTTGTCCTCCAAAAATCTTGGGATTTTGGGGGTTTTTGCACAAATCATTTCTTCACAGATTCAGCCGAGCGAAGGTGATTGAAGAATGGGTGGTTCTGTCAATCTAGTAGCGATAACCGGAGGATTTTAGAAGGAATATTTGAGTTCGAATTGTGTGTGATTGAAATCATTCGGACTAAAGATTTGAAGACCGTTGGGTGGTTCAAACGTGTAGCTGGAATCAGAGGTTTATTCAACACATTCGAGGTACTTGATTCATCTTGAATTAAGGGGAGAGAAGGCATAGTTTCAGCATCAACAACTAGGCTTGAGTGTTTGATTTCGGTTGCTTCTCTTGTACAAATAATTTGCAACAGGTTTATACAGGTCTCAATTCTATTTCTAGAATTAAGGGCAGATGTACCCCAAGCGAGGACGATGGGGATCTGCCTCAACAAATTTGGTGTTGTTCTCTCTTTTGCTATTTTTCCATTTTTGAATTTTAAAGTGTAGTGGTGACAAATATTTTTGAAAGCTCATTACAATCCTTTTTATTGTACTTGGAAAAGTTCTACACTACCATTACTTGTAGAATTTAACTTGGAGTGTGTCGCACACCAAGTGTTTGATAAATTGATCAAACACAAACCTTTTGGATTGTTTTCAATTTGAGTTTATTTTTAACAAGTTATTGGAAATTGCACAACTTTGAGTGAATAAAATTGTATTGATTGGTGTTCAAATTTTTGATTGGGTTTTTCTCGTCGAAGTTAATAATTCCATATAGGCTTATTGCATATCCGATCTTTTCGATAATGCTTCATTTAGACGACCGTATTTCCTCGACCGCTTCCGCATAAAATTTTATAAACTAAATTTCATTTAAGCACTGACTATGTTTAGGAATTAGTGATCTATTCAACCCCCCTTCTAGATCATTGTCGTCGTCTAACAAAGTTGACCCTCTGTCTCCATTTCTCTTCATTCTTGTGATGGAAGTTCTAACCCAATTGTTGAAGAAATCAAAGTCTAGTGATTTGTACAAGGGGTTCAAGGTTAGCTCAGACATTTCGTATAATCTGGTGCAATTTGGAGATGACACCCTTTTGATAGAGGAGGAAAATTAGAGTAACCTTTGGTTCATTAAAGCAGTGCTTCGCGATTTTGAATTGTTGACGGGACTCAAAGTTAATTTCTATAAGAGCAAAATTTGAGGGGTGAATATTAGTGCAAAATTCTTGGAGGCTACCTCAGTTTTCCTCCACTGTGATGTTCTGAAGCTTCCTTGCAAATTCCTTGGGGTATTTATAGAAGACAGTCCTAGGTAGATCCATCTGTGGAAGGACGTTATGGATAACGTGAGGCGTAGATTAACAGACTAGAAAGGAAAGAAAATGTCAATCGAAGGGAGAGTAGGATTGATTAATGATGTTCTCAATGTTATGCCTTTGTATGCTCTTCATTTTTACAAAGCTCCAACAGGTGTTATTAAGATTCTCCAGAGAATCCAGAGTAATTTCCTATGGGGTAGTGGTGACAGCAGGAGGAAAATCCATTGGGTCGACTGGAAATCGGTTTGCACGCCTAAAGTTAAAGAAGGTCTAGGTATCAAGGATATTTCGCTCTTCAATAAATATATTGTTCTTAAGTGGAAATGGAGGTGTTTGAACTCTGAAGGGTTGGTGCAGAAGGGTATTATCGAGTATAGATATGTGAAGAAAGGTCTTGGTTTGGCTATAATAGGATACGACGGGAATAATGAAAAGAGCTCAGGTTCTATATGGTGGCGTGATCTTATGGCGCTGAGTTTTGACAAATGAATCGGTTCTGATATGTTCTTCGATAATTTGAAGTGATCAATGGGTAGCGAAATGGGTGTGGCGTTCTGAAACTGCATTTGGATTATCAACATTTCTCTTAAGGTGACGTTTCCTAACTTATACCAGTTCTCCCTTAATTCCGGTGAATCTGTAGCTGAGATGGGTGTGTGGAAAGGGGCGGAGTGGGATTGGAAACTGCGGTTTCATGATTTTCCTACAGACTCGGTCATGGAAAGGGAGAAGGAGGATTTGCTGGATCTTTTAGTTAATGTGAGGCCGACGGTTGATGTTAACGATGTTTTTCTGTGGGAACCAATTAAGCCTTCCTCCTCTTCTTTTTCTTTTTCTGTATCATCTTGTTATGATTGTTTGATGCAAGATAGGGTGGTGAGCATTATCGGGGCGGACATAATAAAAGGGTCTAAGAACATTTGGGAGGCGAAAATCCCCTCCAAAGTTTAGGTTTTTTTTGTTGAGGTTATTCAAAGACCGGGTCTCAACGAAGGACCAGCTAGCTAGAAAGGAGTTGAAAAGTGGTACACTGTTCAGGTGTTTAGAGACGGGAGTTGCTTAGAATCTTTCATAGTTTTTTATTGTTCCTCAAAAATTTCTACTGGTAATTCTTTAGGCAATATTGTTTACGCTGCGACGGTGTGGTTTTTTTGGGAAAATAGGAACTTATTATCCTTTATGACAAACTCAAGGCAATTGATGATACTTTAAATTCTATTAAGTTTTTTATTTGGAGATGGTTATTTGTAGGAAGTGCTAAACATAGTTGTTTGTTTTTAGATTCGTTCACCACACCTCTCGAGTGTATTAAGAGATTATAAGTCGTTTGCTTTGTTATCTCGAGTTCATGCACCCCTTATACCGTTTATTAAAATTCATTGCTTATTGGGAAAAAAGGGACTCCGAAGATAATTTTTATAAAAGAATATTTTGTTCTCAGTAATATTGGATAAAATTTCTTAATTTAATTCATTTTTGATAATACACATTTTACATCACTAAAGATGAATGAAGGACTAAAATGTAATAACCGAATATTTGAACGATAAGACATAACCAACTAAAGGATTGTGAGGTGAATCTGGTTATGTTTTTATCAAATTACACTCTATTAAATGTGTATTTAGTATTTACATAATAATGAATAATCAAGTGAAGGATTTAAAGATGTGATCTCACGAGTGAAGCATAGGTGTCTTTAGGGAGGGAAAGGTATGGTGTCTTTTTCTCTATCTCTCTCCAAAAAAATTCTCTTTCATCTTAATTCTTATGTTTATTTTATTTATTTTTAATCTAAAATACCCAAAAAAAAATACACTAAAGTCCCTGTAGCTTTCTCATCTAAAAGTCACAATCCTAATCCGTGATCTCACTATCTAAACTGTAAAATGGGATAAGATGGTTAATAACATAAAAATAATAATACTCGTCCTCGGGCCTTTTCTTGAAAAGGGTACTTCATCGGAGTTTTTTACAATAGTACATTATATCTGAAAATTAAATACCATAATATCCCATTTTGAATAAAAAATTCTAACACGCCCTTTGTACAGTACATGCTCGTCCACTGGGTTGGGGAGCACAAGAAGGATTTCCATGCACGTAGATGCTCGCCCAATGAGTTGGCGAGCATCTTCTTATTTTATTTTATTTTTTTCAAATTAAAATATTAATTAATTAATTATAAAATACTCACATGCTCGCCAACTCATTGGACGAGCACCTTCATGCATGTAAATCCTTCTTGTGCTCGCCAACCTAGTGGACGAGCATGTACTGCGCAGAGGGTATGTTGGAATTTTTTTCAAAATGGGGTATTATGGTATTTAATTTTCAGATATGGGGTACTATAGTAAAAAACTCACTTCATCGTGTCATTTTTTTAAAAAAATAGGATAACCACTTAATGGATTTTGCTACATGCTAATTACAAAATGGAGTGTCATGTAGTTGAAATCACACTTTATGGGATCGAAATAAAATTTAGTTACAAGAAGTAATATATGTTTTCAACAAGTTTAATTGGTACTAATAGGAAAAAAGGAAAATCATACGGTCTATCATTGTAACAAGTCAATATTCAAAAAAATTTTAAGATAAATGGTTTTTCAAATAAAACACCAAATAAAATCAAATTTCAAAAAGTTTACGGAAATTGCTATGTTTTTAAGAGGAGTCGCCATATGAAATGGCTGATCAAGGTCTCTCAGGCCCGAGTCGCCATTTCATATGGCGTATGGGTTAAAAAGTTCTTGCCCTACCCTACACTGAGTCGCCATACCATATGGCGCCTCAGTTTTCGGGTTTTTATTTTTTTTTATATAATATTTATTTTTTGTTAAAAAAACATAATTAAAAAAAATAAAATTTGTTATTTTTAATATTTTGTAAAAATATATATAAATAAAAAAATAAAAAAATTATAATACTTATAATATAAAAGAGTTTAAATATTGTACAACAGATGAAAAAAGGAAAATCAAGACTGACTCTATCAAAACGACCATCGGTTCCACATTGGGGAGGATTTGCGCGGCGTTGAGGTCTACCACAAGGTTGTTGAGGTGTATCTGGTCTTTGCATGTTGACTTGTGGAAGAGGTATTTATTCATATGGCCTCGACGTATCAGATAAATTTTGAAGCATTTGACCCCAATAGTCGGGCGGGCCGCTGCCAACTACGCTTCTGTAATTAAGTTAAATGCCCATGTTTTCGTAGTTTTGTCGAGGAGGTTGGGTCGGGTGTGGATGGTATGGTTGTCCGAATTGGTACATCGAATCGGTTTGGAAACAATGTAATGGTTGTTGTGGGGTTTGATAATCAAAAAATGGATAAGTATTTTGTTGGTAGGAAGATTGATTGGCTGGTGTGGGGTCAAAAGAGATATTTAGGCTATAGTTGGACGGGGTAGGGTCAAAAGATGTATCAGGGCTATATGCAGAAGTGGAGTCGGTTTCGGAAGGCTGGCGGTAGGGGTAAGGCTCTTGTTGTTGTGATTGGGTTGGTGGCATGTATGGGTTGCGGTTTTAGAAGATTGATTGGGTGGGCATAGTTAGATGTTGGGTATAACATGGTGTTTGATGTTGGGCATTGGGTTGCTATTATGGGTTCGAGGAAGATGCATGTTACCTTGGGTCAATTAAATATGTTGGCTCAAACACTAATTATTATGATGTTGTGACCGACCTAAACCAAATCATATATTGATAACTTGGTCTAGCCCATTCTATAATAGGGTCGGTTAAGATGTGGTGATGTCGGTTCTTCCAATGCAGACACATCTCTTTCATAAAGTCCTTCCAATGATTTACACACCATTGTGTATCCACCCTTAGTTGATGCCAGTGTCCCAATGACGTTGGAGCGACTGGAATATCCTGATGCATCCCAAACTGCAGTTTCACCTGGTCACTTTGGTACATCTCCATTGTAGTGAACCGAATGATAGGTGTTTTAGATATCCACACGGAAGCATCATTGGCGTTGGGCTGGTGGTCGAGACCCTCGTACGACATCCAGACAAACTATATTAACAATATATGTAATGAGAAATAGAAGTATGTGGTTATCAATTAGACAAAGTAATGGTAGATAAATTACATCATCTGGCCCAATGTGTTCTACAATGTTGCGGTACACGATTATGGAGTTCCTGGGACATCTTTGGTAATTCATTCCCGGAATAGACCACCTAAAAAAAAGAAACACAAATAAATTATTTACAAAGAAACATTGCACAAATAATTAAGTTACAAAGAAACATCGTTTGTACACTCGTATTGAAAATAAACTTACTTGTTAGCGTAGAGGAATGTGAATGAATTGCGGTTGATTGGAGCAAGTGTTGGGATCCTAGACCAACCTCACGCTTAAAGGAGATAGGCGCAGCAATAAAAAGTACAAGAATTTTTGTTTTGCATTTTTACATAATGGAGTATATAGATGGGCGATGACAACTGAACCCCAACTATATGTGCACACTTTATTAATGTTGTGCAACAACGGTAAATACATAATATTTACAGTATTTCCAGTACTATCTGGAAATAAAAAATGACCAAATAATATCATAATATAGCACCGAGTTCTAAGTATGTTCTCATACTCGGTGGATTCCTCATTTAACACGATAATATTATAGTGTTCTCTGAGGTATTTCAAATTAATACGTTGCCCCCTCGGTCGACCTTCACGTTGTGGCTGAGGTGTGTCGACACATAGAGGGGTGCCTAGTATATCTTTGCAAAGTTGGTCATTAACACCAACGTTTCTGTTGATGGCCTTACCATTGATG